GTTAGCCAGTGACCCATGAAACAAAACAAGAAGATAACCCTGGGCCAATCAGGTTCTCTCTTAGTAATTTCAAACAAGGAAAAAAAAACCAAAGGGGACAGAAGTTGAAAGGAGCTAGAGACACCAGGAGGAGCCATATGTAAACCAAAGTTTTCAGTAACCAGAACTTACAGTATGCAGGACAAGTCTTCTGGGAGAAAGAGTATTTCGGGGCAGATGTGCAGAGAAATGCAGAGATATCGAGGTAAAGAATTTCCAGGGCCGCCTCCTCTTCAAAAGGCTTTCTAATTCCATGTCACTCATATCCTAACAACACACATCACCTTTTACCAGAGGTAATTCAGACTGCTTTTGCCAGTGAAGAGTCCAACTGTAACCAAAAGCTGTACAAGTTCCTTGTAGATAGGTTGCTTTGGGGAGAACGAGCAGGCTGCTCTCTTAGCAAACATGGCCACCACTATAGCTGACTAGGAAGCTGCTTGCCTACTTGAGATTAGGTTTCAGGCAGGAAATGGTGTGACCTAATTTGTCTCTCTGTTCTAAGGACATCAGAGTAGGCCAAAACTATGCTTAGGTCCTGAAGAAAGGAAGTTGTGGCATCTACAAAGAACTGGTTTGGTCTTAGAAAGTCCCTTTTAAATTACTAAAATACAGATCACAAATCTCTCTGAAAAAGAACTTTCAAACTATATCTTTTTTTCCTAAAGGGAGCAAAGAGGTGTGGCAGCCATGTTAGTTCACCAAGATCTTACGAATCATTTCTCATCTCTGATTTCAGGACTCAGGAGGGCTAAACTGGAAGGAAAAGCAAGAGTGGCTCTTGTCAATACAAGACCTCATTTGTTATGTCCACAGCCTCTTCGAAATGTCCCCCAGCAAGGCTGCCATCAGCACTTGACTAAAAACACATGGAGGCAGCCCACTCAGATCAGGAATTCATTACCGGAAGAATAATAAGGGAAAGACTCCCCCTCACCCCTACCCCACCTCTCTGCTGCAGAGAGAGCTGCTTTCTGGAAAAGTGGCAGGGTTTGGGAATTTGAATCATGTCTGGTAAGAAGGGAAGAATGGAAGTGGAAGGGCACATTTCCAGAAGACTTTTTACACAATGCATGATGATTCCGGACAACTCAAAGCCAACTGTTCCATCTTAAATGTATTACTACAACTGGACTATGGCTTCCTTGAGCCCATTATCCTTTCCCAGAGTTATTAGTATCTGAGAGAACTAAGTACCCAGAGTTAACTGGTGCTAAAAAAAAAAAAAAAGGACCTGTAGACTGCAGAACTATTTTGTCTCTCTTCCTCAACACCATCCTGGAGGTCTTTGACACATGTCAGGTAATCCAAGGGAACAGTACATAAAAGAAGTGGATTCAATGGCCAGGGATTTAGCTCAGTGGTATCACCGCCTGCCTTAAAAGTGCAAGGTCCTAAGTTTGATCCCTGGTACAAAAAAAAAAAAAAAAAGAAGTGGATTCGAAAGAATGAAGCATTTGCGAGCTTGTTGGGAACAGCAGCATATGGCAAGGGTTACAAGTGTTCAGTTACATTCAGTTCTCCTTCCCTTCCCAATATGGGAAATTTGGACTTTCCTGCTTCCCTGAAGTTAGGCAGGGCTACATGGCTGTGTAGCCATGAGACAAGTGATGTGTGTCAATCTTGTTCTTCCTTTCTTAACCTCTCTCTTCCTCTAAAGGGCAACTGTGAAAATGAATGTTAACACTACAGTGCAATACTGAGTTACTACATAGAGAAAAGTGTATCTGTAGAGCTCTTGGACTTATACAGACTTCAAGTCACTGAGATTTGAGGGGTTGTTTTTAGGTAGCAAAATGAAATTTCTTCTGATTTATATACAGTGATTTATAGGTTTTTTTTCCTCTTTGCAGATTGATTTTGAGTTCTGAAAAAATTGTACTTCATCTGAGCCCTGTCCTTACCAAATTTCAGAGAAATAGGCAATGTGTTTCTCTCTCACCCTTAGGACATGAAACTGAGAAGTGAGATGGGTTCCTTCCTTCCATTTGAGCAAAAGAAATCTTTGAATTCTATAGTGGAATAAAGTGGAAAGAACAGAGTCCTTCCATAGGCACAGAAAAAACAATACTTCAAAATGGTTCTAAGACCACAGTTTTTAGGCCAGAATTAGATATTTTGTACTTCATTCTTTTACTTGTTTCTCCCCCATTACCCATTATCCTCCATTTTCAGAACTCTTTTTTGGCAATCGTGGTTTTGCTGGAAAAACTTTTATAATACTGTGTCTGAGCAATTAACTTGGCATTGCTTACAACATACAGCCTAAAAGGAAGTCTGCACAGAGCTCAGCATCTCTGAGTTAATCTAGAAATACTTCCAAATCTTTCCCAGGACTGCAGGACCTCAACAGAATGGTTAGGAGTCTAGCATAATTAGGGTGACAAAGTTGGATTTACACACACACACACAAACACACACACACTTCAAAATACCTCTGAATTGCAAGACCCTGGGTTTGACCCTCAGTATCACAACAAATAAAAACACAAAAAACCAAAAACTCTGAATTATATTATTAACCACTTTCAATAAAAGTAATTTGGCAATATGAGATGCTTCTCTAGCATGTCATTTCTAGTATGTCATAGGTTGTACCTGCCTGCCTGGTCTTCGGCTCCTGGGGAAGAATACCACCTGTGTCTGCCTTCCTACAAACCTTCCCTGGGGCTATTTTCCTGTGCATGTCTCCCAGTCTTTAACAGTGGTGGAAAGTGAAGAAGACAGGAGTAACTTCTCCGTGTTTTTCTTATTCCCACTGTTATTATTCCCAGCTCTCTGGAGTTGCTGCTCAGGATGCAAAATCCGACCACTAGTATTATTCTTGGTGATTCTATTATTTGGAAAATATCCACTGAATTCCTATACAATGGTGTGTATAGCATGTGCTGAGTACTTCAGTGAACTGAGGATGGGTAAGACAGGCTGAACAAAATATTACATGGGGATAGAAGGAACAGGAATGTCCAGGTGCAAATCCCCATTCCATTCTTTCTAGCAAGACAACAAACCCCTCTTGCCTCAGGTCCTCATTGCAAAGAAGGGACACTGCAGACTCATCTCACAAGATTGCTGGCAGGGATCAGCGAGGAAGGATCATGTCAAGTGATCATCCAGCAGGTGTTCAGTGTGCAAAAGGAGTGCTGAGGGGCTGTCCTAGCACCAGGGCTGTGGTGATGGCTGGGGGTGGGGCTCAGAGCTGGAGAGGACAGGGTGGGTTTGTCAACCATGGGGGTGGGGGTGGGGGTAGACCACTGCCTTGGAGTTTCCTGAGGTCATAAAAAGAGTCTCAGGGAGGAAGACAATTTTTTAAAAAATTCTTTTATTGGTACATTTTAGGTATACAATACATTTACATTTATCATTGGGTGCTTGTACCTGTGGATGATGTATCTTAGTTCTTATTTTTTTCCCCATTACCCGTGTGCCCTTCAACCCCTCCGCCCTTCCCTGTTTATATAGATTTCATTTCCATTTTTTTTCTTTTCTCATAATTTTTCCTTTCCCTTCTTTCTTTTCCCCTTCCCCTCCCACCACCCCTACACCTTTGGACCTTTTCCTATTTCAAATTATCAATTATTCATTTTAATCATTTTAATCCTTATTTATACTTTCAGTTTCTCACACTAGAGAAACTATTTGGTATTTACACATGTGTCCTCTTTATTTCACTTATGAGTATGGCCTCAATATGCATCCATTTAGCTAAAAATGTCTCTAGTTTCTTGTTCTTTATGGCTGAGTACTACTACATTTTATAAAAAAAAAAACCACATCTTCTTTATCCAGTTTCCAGTTGATGGGCACTTGGGCTGTTTCCAAGCTTTAGCTATTACAAACTGTTCTGCTATAAACATGGGTGCACATGTATCGCTGTGGTATGATTCTTTTAATTCTTTGGGGAAGATACCCAGCAGGGGAATAGCTGGGTCATATGGGACCTCTAGTCCTAGTTCTTTGAGATATCTCCATACTGATTTCCACAGTGGTTGCACCAATCTACACTCCCACCAACAATGCAGAAGAGTTCCTTTCTCCCCACACCTCGGCCAGCATTTGTTATTGGTTGATTCCGTGATAGCAGCCACTCTTTCTGGGGTGAGGTGGAATATCAGGGTTGTTTTCATCTGCATCTCTCGAATGATGAGTGATGTTGAACATTTTTTCACATATTTATTTGCTGCTTTTACTTCCTTGTCTGAGAAATGTCTGTTCATTTCAGATGCCCATTTTTGAATTGGGTCTTTGAATTTGGGGGGTCTGATTTTTTTCAGTTCTTTATATATTCTAGATAGTAGACCTTTATCTGAGGTACAGCTGCTAAAATTTTTTTCCCACATTGTAGGTTGTCTCTTAGCTCTGTTGGTGGTTTCCCTTGCAGTGCAGAAGCTTTTTAATAAGATGAGATCCCAGTTGTTGATTCTTTGTGCTAGTTCCCATGCTACTGAGGTTTTGTTCATAAAGTCTTTTCCTATGCCAATGTCTTCAAGAGTTCTGCCTAACTTATCTTCCAGCAAGTTTAATGTTTCTGTCTTAATATTTAGATCTTTAATCCACTTTGATCTGTTTAGTGCATGGTGATACGTATGGGTCTAGTTTTAATCTTCGGGAGGCTGAAATCCAGGTTTTCCAACACCATTTATTAAATAGGCTATCTTTCCTCCAATGAGGGTGCCTGGCTCCTTTAACAAAGATGAGGTGGCTGAGGATGGAGGAAGACAATTTTTGATATGTGGTATCAGGATATGTATTCTTTTTACTTTGATACTTATGACTGACTCATTTTAATATGTGAACTTTTTAGATTTTATTTTTTTATGGATAGTAAAAGTTGGGAGAAACCAAACTGAGTTATAGTGAATAAACAATATCTTTCCCAAAGTAGAGAAGAAAAAGTAGCATCTTTTCCTCATCCATCACAAGGTTCATGGCTAACCCCCCGTTACAAAACAAAACACAGGTTAATGAGAGCAAAGCGTATACATTTATTTACCATTTTCTTCTTTTAAATGAAAGGCATTAAATGATTCCCAAAGTACTCTAAAAGATAGCCAAAGGACAGCAGTACTCCCAAAGACAGCAGTACTCCCAAAGATAGCCAAAAGACAAACACAGATAGACCTCAAGAGCTGGTGCCAGTAGGTATATTAACCACTAATGGGTGTAACCCAAATTCGAGCCAGCCACATGCTTGGGATCTGCAGCCTGAAACTATCTCCCTATACGTGCAAATTCACAAGATGTATGTCCTCACAAATGGAAAGACAAGCCTAATTTTAAATAAAAATGAGACAAGAAAAGAGGCACTGTCTTTGGGAGGGAAAGGCTTCGTGATGAGTGGGTACCCCAAAGCCAAATTTAGCCAGAGAATCACAATCCAAACAAGTGTTTCTTTCCTAAATTTGGAAAGGAAGGGACAAGAAATTTTAATCTTCTTCTCTAGATTGGGGACTATGGATAGAGATCAAGGAGAGAGTTGACCTTGGTAGGAATTTATCCCCTGGCTTTTTGCCAGTTGTCCCAGGACCTTATCTACAGGCTCCAGAGAGGCTGGGGTGTCTCAGCTATCACTCACTGGGTACCAGAAACTGTAGGGGAGAAAAGGTATTATCTTTGCCTCACCCATTACAAGGATCATGGCTAGGGCCTTTATAACAAAAGACAGATTAACAAGAAAAAAGCATGTAAATTTATTTGACATAAATTTTATGTGACATGGGAGCCTTCATAAATGAAGACTCAAAGAAACAGGGCAGGCTGTGCATTTTTATGCTTAGGTTTGATGAAGAGTGGATAGTATATAAAAATATGACTGGAAGATGAATGGGTATGATCTAATGATAATAAACAGGGTGGGGGGATTTTAGCAAGTCCTGTTTGTTCATATTCTTTACTGCCTCCCTGTGTCTTCAGAGATAAGGACATTCTTTTCCTCCTGGTATAGGGAGGGCACCTCTGGAATGAAGATTTTATGATCTGCTTCAGGGGACAGGGGAAGAAGATACTGACTTTTGCTGTTTTCCCATATTTTGGGATAGCATGCCCTGAACCCCATCAATAACTTCTCAAATATCCTTTCATGTTTGACTCAATTCATGTCATGAGAATTCATGGGAAATGTACATTTAATCAGTTGCAAAACTTTGCTTGGTTTTTCAGCTACATAGTCTATGGAAAACCACAAGTTCTCAAAATGTACTTCCATCAGAGGGAGACACATGGCCTTAGCCTCAAATGTCTGCTGTCCCTGCCACTTCCAGGCCTACACAAATCTTTCTTTCCTCTGATGCCCAGCACATGTGCTGTTGCCTTGAATACCTTCCCTGGTTGGCTCCAGGCCAGTGAAATGTTCCTCTTCCTGCCCTTGCTGCATGGGGCTTGGATGTGCATCTATTCTGTTACTTTATTTTATTCTGCTTTATATCATAGCTACTCATTTTTGAGTCCATTTGTAGTATATTTCTTGAGGATGGGGCACACATCCTATCACTTTTAGGCTTCCCCTGAGTATTTGGTATGTGCTTAGCAAATACTGAGTTGTTAAAATGGACTCAGACATTCAACCATTCTGCATCACTCTGTATTGACTTTGTACACAGCACTCTGTTGAACAGTGATAGAAAATACAATTTGACTTGATTCTCACTCCCAAGGCACTTAAAATTTCCGAAGGGAGAGCAGGCACAAAGTGATTTTGCAGCAGATGGTTTGGGTTCACAACTTGGGTAGGAGGGTCCCAATGGGAAAGACTGGGAAGATTTAATGTCTGACTTGGAAGGGGCTGAAGCCCCAGAACCTTGCGCTGCACCCAGCTTGATGCTTTGGTCAAAAGCTTATGGGCAGGAGGAATAGGAATGCTGGGTGTTCTACTGGAAATGACTAAATTATCCCATGGGTCACCAAGTGATTTATTTGCTAATTGAATGGCCAGCTTTGGGCTTTAAATCTAAAGAAGTCATTTCATCCTTTATTTAATACTGCATGAATCTCACTCTTTGTTTTGCAAGGCTATACACAATATGCCAGTGAAATGTGAATTTACACTACAATAGTTATGCCACTAATGACCTTCCAAATGCCACTAATACCATACATGCTCTGCTTCTCCACTGGATCTAACTAAACCTGTCAGTGAATTCTGAGGCCATCAACCTCCCTCTGACACAAGAGCAGAACCCCACACCCATGCCTGCCCCCGATATCTCCCATCATTCAGTGATTTCATTTCTGAATCAGTTGCTCTTTGGAGACCCCAATTCCTTTGCACCTATTCTTTTTATTTGGTGGACAATACTTCCTTCGGAAATGTTCCCTCCTATAATTACAAATCTTGTTAGTTATCCTCCTCCTCTCCCCAGGGGGATTATAGGCTTTAATTAATTAATGTGGTTAACCCACTTGAGATGCCTACTTGAAAGGTGCTATATAAGTGCAAATTATTATTATTATGGCTGTTGACATCCCATGGAGCCAAAGCCCTCAGTCCTACACATCTAGAGATCTTAACAAAGGCTTCTTCATCTTCACCTTCCCTGCTAGGCCTGAAATCACTGGCTCAATGGTCTAGGAGCAAATCTGTTACCATCTCAACAGCAATCAACTAATTAATCCCCGTTATTTTGGCTTCCATTTCCTTTCTCCAAGCTGCATGGTCCAGTTTCATTTCACAAACCATGCCCCCATCAGCTGTAGACAAAGGTCACAGTATTCCTATGGCCTCTGTTGGTCTAAAAGGAGAGAGAGAGAGAGAGAGAGAGAGAGAGAGAGAGAGAATTTGAAAACATATCATAAAATGCATTAACTTCTCACCAGCAATCTAAATGAAACTTTCCCACAGTTGCAATCCCCTCCCATACTTGTCACCCACAGAATCAACTGCCTTGCACACTACAGGCACCCAGAAACTCAGTACAGGCTGGGGGCTGGGTTAAGGTCCTGCAGCACTGGCCTGACTGCAGATAGTTACAGACAAAGGGGAAGTCTATCTGCACTGGGTGGGAAAAGGTCATTCAGAGACACAAGTCCCTCTTTGGCTTTCTCTACAATCCCGACGTTTCCCCTGAGAAAGCCAGCTGCCATCTGTAGCCAGAAAGCCCTCACAAAGGCCGGGACCATGATTTAGATGTTTTATGCTACACCTAGCACACCACAGCCCTCAACAAATGCCCAGTACTTCCACTATGATGGTAGCCATTGAAAGCAGCCCTGTGGGGGAGACTTGGCCTCTCATAGGGACGGTGCTGACCAAAACACTCCTTACAAGGTTGCCCCTCAGCCTCTTTGTTAGAGTGGCTGTGGGCGAGCCTCAGGGGGTCATGTCTTCATCTGCCTTCATTTATCCTCCCCATTGAAGGGCTCCTTCAGGACATCGGTCAGTCTCTGTGGGAAATGATTTGGAGAGCAACAAAAGAACTTGGGCCCTTTGGGGGGCCTTCAGAATTCAGTAAACATCTGGACATGGAAGGCCAGGTTCTCAAGCAGTCTAACTGGGGAGGTGTCAAAAGAGAGAGAGCTGTGTGTGCAATGTAAGCTTTTAGTGCTCTGGCGATGTTTGTTGTCAAAAGACACAGACACCCTAGCAGGTAGATAGGAAGATTTTTCAAAAGCTCTTCTATTTGTTAGTTTTTGTGAGTGAAGTTCACTGTTTGTCAGTTGTCATGGCATGTGTGAGGAAATGGCAGTGTCACATGGGCAATGGGCAGCCTGCGATGGGCTTTCTGATTTTGTGTGCACCACAAATAACCTAAGGTTGCATAAGCCTGTCCTGGTAGTTGTTAAAAGCATTTCATTTACCTTTGAGGTTTGTAAAGCACTTAGTATCCTAGGTGACTTACTGGACTCAAAAAAAGAGAGAGAGCACTAAGAGGAGGAGTGATTTACACTTCATCACACGATGAGATTTGAGACCTGAACTCTTGACTCTCCATGTTCCCTTTATTGTTGAGTCCATCCATTTAGAACGCATTAGTCAGCATGATTCAACATTCATCACTAATCAACATTAGTGATGGAACTAATCAGCATTCCCCAGTGTCCCTGAGTCTATCCTCAGGCAGCAAAAGAAACTGGGCTCTGTCAAGAGACAATGGAATGTGGTTTTTGTCAGTAGTCAGAAGCTGAATCCAGTGCCAGTCCCACATACTCGGTCATTCTAGTTGGAAAGAGTCTATCTCTTTTATCTGTCCATGTCCAACTGTTTGAACGTCCATAACAGGTATCACGCTTTGCTTTTTATTAAACTTATGTAATTACATCTTTCCTAACTAGATATTAAGCTACTAAATGGAAGGGACCTTTTTTTCTTCCCAGTTTTATATCCCTTGAGCCCTGAGCGCTATGCTTTACAAACGATAGATACTTGACACATACTGAACTGAACTCACCAAGATGGAACTTAAATCATATTCCAGAAAGAACCTCAAGTCCTTTTGGAAGACATTTTCAGAGAAAACCAACAACCTGACTTGACTTAACATCTTTTGGTATTATTACCTGTGCATTTTCACAAATGCAAATTGTTAGCTCTGCCAATGACTTACAGGTTCTAAAAGAGGAGTGTGGATCCAGTCTGGATCTACAGTCCAGGTTTTTGGAATACAGTACAAGTTTTGGAATAAAGTTTTTCTCTATAACCTTATTTCAACTGAAATTTTGTTCCATGTTACAAAAAAATGTAGGCAGGAAAAAAAAATATTTTGGAAAAAACGTGTTTAGTCTACGACTTTTGACCCAAGTTCATACTCTGATTTGTGCTCATAGCACTCATTCAAATTTTGTTCTTAAATACCGCATAACAGCAAAACATACTAATGTTTCCACTTGATGGAAATTCTGTTTTGGGCAGGGTGAGGGGACAAGATTTTTGGGTTCTAATATGTGGTGAATAGCTGACTATGACATCCTAGCCCTCTTTGCTCTAGATTCTGGAACAAAAGAGAGTCCTGATAGCATTTTTAACAAACCCAATATTTATTTGTATTTATTTGTATTTCTGTTATGCAAGCCCAGCCCTAGGGAGTGTACTATTGTATCCTGGGAAGTAATCTCTGCAACTAGGCTCCTCTGAAAGGGCTCTGTCTCTGAATATTCATTTTCCCTCTTTCTCTTGTGGTAACAGAGCTCCCCAAATTTATCTAGGTACCTGGCCACCCAGATTAGCAACTATGTTCTCAGCCTTTCTTGACATATAGTTACAGATTTGCCACATGATATAAGCAGAAATGAAGCATGTAACTTCTGGTTAACGTCCTTACAGGAAGGGGGATGATTTTCCTCTCATCACTCTGTCCCACACAACTCCTGCTACTTGGATGGAAGACATGATGTTGAGCCATTTGGACTCTGACAACTGAGAAATATCCTAGGTGGGACAGAGCAACAACCCAATACCCTGGGTCCGGGGATAGACATGTGGGGCCAAGCTGCCACACAAGCTCTGGCCTGCATTCCTCCACAGTGCTATGTGAGGAAGCAGCAAATCTTTATCTTGGACACCACTTTAGTTTAGGCAGTGGTTACATCCAGTCAAACTTATAACCCAACTACGTTCAGGGAATTTCTAGAAGGATCGTTATATCAATGTGACTGATTTTTAGCTTAGAATGTCAGGATTCTGAAATATGGGCCTGGAATATGTCAACAAGGCCCATGAAGTCTGGTAAATAAGTGGCTATAGGGCCTGACATAATAGAAGAGAAGGGGGCCCAAACCCATTTCTGATTTTCTAAACTCTTGGGCCCAGCCTACCTACTTGTAAAGGGTTACAAACTCAACTTTGAGGCAGTGAGCTTCTCTTCAGCTTTTTGGGGACTCAGTTTTTCATTTGAAGATCAAAGTGGCAGACGAGACTAAAAGCTGTCTTGGGATGTGAATATAGTTACCTTAGGTGCAGTGAAACAATTTTTATCAATAATCATTTAACCACATGCATAAAGCTCACATACTGTGCAGATCTCTCCAGAGTATATGGCAAGCTTATACTCCAAAGGCAGACAAAAAAGAGGTATCCATAAAGAATGCATAAGAAGATCAGCCATGGAAACATGATAACAAACTTATAATTACACATACACCTGCATAGAAATTAGTGCACTACCTCCAGAGGGAGGGTATATTGGTAAATCTCTTTGGACAGAAATTTGCAAATGTATAGTAAGGATGAAAATGTGCATACCCTCTAATCAATCATTCATGATACATCCCTAGAGAAACTCATGCCTGCCAACGAAGAGACATGTATAAAGAAATTCATTGTTGGGCCGGGGATATAGCTTAGTGGCATGGCACCTACCAGGCAAGCACAAGGTCCTGAGTTTGATTCCCAGTAATTAAAAAAAAAAAAAAGAAATTCATTGTTGCAAATAACCGAAATTCTCATAAATAGGGAAGTAGATAACATGGTATAGTCATACAATGGATGTAGACACCTGAAGTAAAGTGAAAAAAAAAATGTTCAATGTGCATCAGTATAGACATAGCATAAAAAAGTTAAATGACAAAAGCAAGTTGTAGAATGACATGTATGATAAGCCATATATGCAAAGTTTAAAATGCACTCAAAACAAATCATTATATGTGAATTCATTTATGGAAGAGGAAGGGAATATACCAAATTATGGACAACTTCTGCTTCTGTGGAGAATGTGGCGGTGGGGAAAGACTGGACTAGGTGTAGATACAAAAGAGTTTTGAGCTTTGTCAAGTTTTAGTCTTGTTATTTAAAAAAATCTGAGAAAAGTAGGACAAATTTTTAAATATTTGCTAATTTTAGATATGAGAGTCTTTTAAAATTCATGCTTTATGATTTTCTGTACTGTCTATATTAATTATATGATTCATGCTGGGGTGTAGCTCAGTGGTAGAGTGTTTGCCAGCATTGCAAAAACAAACAAACAAACTACATAGATAACATAATAAATGAACAAGGCAAAGGGACAGTGTAGGAAGACGTCATAGAGGAAGAGGATGTAAAATGAATGTCAAAAGAGAAGAGTACTTGGAAGTTGGACTCTTTCCTCATTTTCCCATGGGAAGCCCCATACCAAGAGTCCTAGATGAGCCTTCTGAGGCTGCAGGGACAACGTGACAGGCCAGCTCTGTCCTCTTCTCTATGACCTCTGGAAGGAGTTTGTACTCTCTGCGTCACTGAATCCCAGGGATCTCTGCCCAGACTCCCACAAGAATTCTAGGCTCTGCCAGGTGTGGGGGTGGTACTAAGAATGCAGACACCTCCATACCTGTTTGGAAATAGATTGAGAACCTTTTGGGTTACTCTGAGTCCACCAGGCAGAAAATATTTAGACAGGCTACTGATTCAAATTGAAATCTGATGAGCTCAGATGGTGGTATTTGGGGGGAAAGAATTTTTCAATAAATCATCCAGTTGGCTTGGTGACTAAGAAAATGGGGTGGAAGAATTTAACTCAAGTTTGTGACAAGTGAACAAATAGGGGAGATTAATGCCTTTCCCGATACGCTTCAAAAGGTGATCAAACAAACCTTTCTTGATTGTAAAACCAAAGCAAGAAAGGGACATAGCTTTCTAGTTCTAAAAAAAAAAAATCACTGTTTGTTTTCTGGTTTCTTTTGAGTTCCTCCACAAAGTGGTTGAAGAAATAGGAAGTTAGTTTTTGTCCAGCACCTTCTCTTGACCAGTGTCAGGGTACTCTGGGCTCTTCTGAGGTTCCCCAATCCACTCCCCAAAGATTTATGCTGTTCATTCAAATCTAAACTGGTAGAGGACAGCACCAGAATCCAAATTTAAGCAGTCATACCAGATCCTGATTCTGTAGAAATAAATATAGGAAACACACTTCTGTCTTATGGGGAAACCAAGCTGCTATCTTTTTTTTTGGTACCGGGGATTGAACTCAGGACTTTGTGCTTTCGAGGCAGGCACTGGAACCACTGAGCTAAATCCCTGGCCCAAGCTGCTATCTTTTGTTCTGCTCAAAACAACTCGGCTTTCTGTTTTCCCAAGTGTGCCCTACATTCCTGAGGAAAGAATTGTAGGTGAAGGAGTGAATAGAGTGGGCTCTGTTGGTCCAACCTCTCCATTCCCAGGGCCAGCCCCTTCCTTAGGAGCTATTTCACTGATCCCCAGGCAGTTACTCCACAGACCCCAAGAATACTGGGATGGCTTCAGGAAGGCCTGGCCCTGGCTTCCCAGAGGCCTCCTGAAACATAAGCAAGACAGCCTAGTTGTTTTCAGTGTCACAGACCCAGCTGTGCTCTAGATGGCACATTCAGGGTCTGCTGAAGAAACAAAGGACAGGATCAGAGCAGATGTGGGTTGACTTGGAGTTCATGGGACTCCACCCCCCCCTTCTTGTCTGCAGTGCTTTGGGGCTCCTCCCCATTAAAGCTGATCTCCAAAGTCAACTCTTCTGCTCTTCACTTGCTATCAGGTCCCAGCACCCCTCCACCTCACTTGGCCTAGCCAGTCCTTTGAGCTTTTCCACTTGTTAGGCACCCAGGCTTTCCCTGGAGGATAAAAGGAAAAATGGATTCACGGCTCCTGGTCAACCCCCACTTTTCCCACTCCTGTCACCCAAAGGGCTGAATCTCCCTCTGGCCTTCTCTTAGAGGACCAACCACCAAGAAGCTGGAGGCTACTGTGAGCTCCCTCTCCTTTAGGGCCCAAGTATTTCCAGAATCTAGGGCCCAGCCAAGAGAGCCCAGGATCCTGGACAAAGGCAGGCAAACAAAGAAGATGCAAACGGGGTGGTATTACCATGTTAATAGCCTGAGGCCTCCTGAAGATGCCTGGAGGGTGGGTTTTCTTTCTTTTACTTTTTCTTTCTTTCTTTTCTTTTTTCTTTTTTTTGCAAAAGGAGAATAGTTCTGCTTTCTATTTTACTACAACAATAGCACGGTCCGGCTCCTTCAAGTGTTTAAAAAAAATGGCCTGAGAAATCTCTAACCAGCCCGGGTCTCTCCAGCCTGCCGCTCCATTGTCCCTCCCATCCCAGTGAACAAAGGGGAGGGAAGGGTGTCAGGCCCCCAGTTGCTGTCTGTTCTCAGCATCCTAATCCTTGAGAACTGGTGAGGGGAATGGCCTGTGGAGCCTGTCAATCGAATTTTGCCTCCACTTTCTATTCCCTCCCTCGGCTTGCGCACTCTGAGAGGTGCAGGTATTAGAAAACCTCCTGGTCAGTGGGCCAAGAGGAGTCTTGAGGTTTGCCGAGGGATAAAAGGCATTTTGGATCATTCCCACGTTCACTGATGACCCGGCCCTGCCCCCGGGTTAGCCCCTGTGGATTGTTCTTTCCCACCACTCCAGCTTGGCTCCATTAGAGCCTGATGGCCAGCCAGAAGGGGCTGCTGGTCTCTCTTAAGGGTAGCACAGGGCATCACGTTGCAAACCCCGCCGCCCTGCCATCTCTGTGCCGCTCGTATATGGGGCAGACTGCAGATTGCAGCCAGAGGTTCAGGTCAGGTGCCATTTCCACACCAACCTGGAGCTATCATGCCCCAGCAACTCCTCACACCAGGAACACTTTTTAGCCTTGACTTGACTGGTGTTACCTTTCCAAGTTTACCACCCAGGAAGCAAGGGTTTCTTTGCTTTAAACCTGGGGAATTATACAGGTGTCTTTCAGCTCAGTCATCTGGTAAGAACAGGGAAAAATAAGCCTTTATGTTCTAGTTAGGTACAACTGTGCTGAGGTAAGTGAATGATAAGTACATCACCTCCCAGGAGAATCAGATAAACTGAAGTGACAAGAGATCATCCAACCAGGTTACTTCCATCCAAGTAAGAAAACACCATCACTGCAATCCCCATACATGAAGTCTTAATGTGCACACATATACACATTCATACAAAATCACATACACACAATTACACAAGTATTTCATTACATAATCAGATATTTTCTATTTTCCCTTCTTCCCTCTCTCCCTTTCTTCCTAAATGCTGGTTGTGACCCATCAGTTTGATGTCACGACCCATTGATGGGTTGCAGGCCAGTTTTCCAAGCCTTGAATCAGCATTTTCATTTTCAAGCAGACAAAATGAGGGCCCCAGAGATTTTTCTTAAGATCACAGCAGAGCTGGAACAGAAACCCAAAGGTTCTCTTCAGTAAAAGGGGGCCCTCACTTTTCTGGGCAGCAAACTCCTGTTTCCCCTCCAGAAGCTGTGGAGCACATTAGAAGGGCACAAGGTATGCTAACTCAGTGAAGTTTGTAACTCAGTGGCACTGCTGGTGACAGCAGCAGGGCCCTTCTGCCTCTGGGCCTCAGAGAAGGAAGTGCACCTGAGGGAGTGGGACAGGAAAACAACTTAGAAAATAGGTGAGGTTCTGAGGATTCCCAGCCATTTTTATTTACTGCTTGGGGAACTTGCATCATAAGACATTTTCCTGAAATTTTTTCTTTTCTGGACACATTATTCCAGGTCAGTCTTCTTTAGTAAATTACTTTCTCTCCTATTTTTCAATTTTTTCTATTAGTCCTTCCTTGAAGTATTTTTTTTAACTTCTATCAACGCATTGTATTTCCAGTTTCTATTTTCTCTAAACAATTTCAACTTCCCTGTCAAAATCATTATCCTAGCAATGAACATCAGGGATGCAGCCCAGTGAATCTTGTTAACACAAATATATCCGAAGTTATCTCTATTTGACCAGGCTTAAAAATGCTAGTTTTCAAGGTATAAACATCCTAGCAAGACTTTCAACTGATTCTTTTCCTCTTGAACTTATCTCATAATTTTCCATAGAATTTCTTGAAAACTTCATCTAAATTTGCTATTTACTAGACTTATAATCTTTTAAGACTACCTCTAAAAATGAAGAGCTCAAAGGCACACTGTGCACTGGGTAAATAAAACCGAGCTTTCTGATTGCTTATTAGTTATACACCCTTAAAGTGTATGTAACAAAGGGGCCTGCTGTTTGCTTTGCTTAATCTGGTCTTAAAATCTCTGCTTCTTTGTCAGAAAACAATATTTGCAATTGTAAAAAAAAATATTTACCAAGGAACTTGGATAGCATAAGTCAGAGGCTAAGAGCCAAAGGTCAGTAGTTTTTACCCCAAATTTCTGTGGCCCCGAGAGTCCCTGCTGTGGAGCTCAGCTGCATCAAACAAACATGTTGCTTTGAGAGTCTATTAAGAAGCAAGCATTTCAGAAGAGGAAGGGAAGAAAGGGCTGGCTGCAGCCCACTTCTCAGCCTGCACAGCAGAATCCCTGCTCCATCTTTGGAATGTAATGGTCACCATGAGGATGGTGCAGGGACTGTCCTGTTTCATAAACCTGGAGAAAGACCACAGCTTACAAAATTTTGCTGGGCAGACACGAACAGCAATAGCAATACAGTGATGCCTCAGTTCATAAACTTAATTTGTTTTACGATTTTGGGGAAGATGGCCACATTTTGTCACATGTGGAGTTTGTGAATGGAAGCAAAATTTTGTCGTGTTTTTGTTTGAGAATTGAATTGTTTGCAAGAACATTCATGAACTGAGGTATTACTGTGCCACTCTTCTGTGGCTCAGGCCAAATATTAACCTATGCATTTGGTGGGTGAGGCTGCCTGCCTGACACTAAGGAACAGACAAATGTGTATCCTGAGCACTTCTTAATTTGCAAAGCAGTTTTGCATATCCATTCCCAGGGGCTGATTCTTCTGAGCTTAATGGTGTTCCAATTTTTTTTTTTTTTTTTCGGTCCCAGGGATCATTCCAATTTACTTCTTCATTTTTATAATTTTCTGGAAAGACCTGGGATTGGGTGCCTTTCCTAATCACCAGAGTACCCAGCATCTGAGAATGAGTCCCCACTGCAGATCAGTGAGTTCCAGATTGTGGGCTTGGGGTATCTCACTTTGATGAAGAACTCAGCTCCTTCCAAGTTCCATGCCCATGTCACAAGAGGCAGGTCAGCAAGCAAGGCATATCCCAGCATAAGGGTCTCTTGGGACTTGAACTCAGGGAATGGAAATGGAGTAACCACAGGGAGGCCAAAGAAATGGAGCTCTTGGAACCACAACACAGTGGTTCCACCAGCCCAGATGGGCTACAGCTTGTGAAGCAAGAGGCTCTTTGCACTGGCATCAGAGACCACCTGCCTGGTTCACACCATAGGATTCATGAAGAAGACTATTGGGAGCAATTCCTAGCACTCTTGTTTTGACCTTTTATTTTCTGTTGTCCCACTCTGCTATTAAATCCTACAGTTCTCCCTCAACTATATCTCAATCTTCTGTCAAATTCTTGTCACAGATGCCAATCTTTTGACCATATCAGGGCAATATCACTAGCCAATTCACCTTGGCCTCCCCCCCCCCAGTACCGGGGATTGAACTCAGGACCTTGCACTTGCAAGGCAGGCGCGGTGCCACTGAGCTAAATCCCAGCCCAACCATGGCCTTTGATTCTGTCCTGAAACAGTTTAAATGACCACAGCAGTAACTACACCAGCAATGGGCAGCACTGAGCATAATCAGCTTAAAGAAATGGCTTACTCTAAGGATCTTACCTTGAAGAACCAGGCCTTCTGCCTTGATGGTGTAGACAAATGAGGTGAAGGGAGCCAGAGGGGACTTGGCGATGAGAATCTGCACATAAAGCATATTTTTCTAGAGTGAGACAAATGATCAGGTACAACAAGCCTCTATTACTTCCCTTCCTACTTTGACAGAGTGGTAACATATGACTGCAGGTTATAAGGCTTATTATTAAAAACATATTTTGGAAAAAAAATTTAAATGTGTGTTATCATTTCAAAGTGGTCACCTTGGAAGGGCAATTATCCCACATATTCTGCCACCAAATGCCATATTCTTTAACCAATTCTTTCAGAAACAAGATTCATTATTTATGTAACATGATTAAATATCTATATTTCTGCTCAAAGAGAAACCTAGCTTGATTCTTTAATTGTATTCATAAACTTAGTCATTTAAAAAAATTTAAAGCTACCCTTAAAATATTTACCATCACTGCAAATATTCAAAATAATGTGCTAGAGGCAAAGCAATAGTAAGTTGTTTTACTGACACCCAATCCCTCAGCAATTCTGTGTTTACATCCTTTATCATGGGTTTGTAGTTTTTCTCACTTAAGGTGTAGCACATTTTCCTTGGAGCAGACTATGGGGCTGGCCATATGACTTGCTTTGGCTAATAATTTGTGCCAGTTCCCAGCCTAGGCCTCAGGAAGCCTCAAGTATTTCCATTTCTTCTCTTTTGCTTCTGCCACTGTCAGGGGAAATATGTCCAAGCTAGTCTACTAGAAGGAAAGTAAGAACAGAGCTGGCAAGCTTAAGTAGTTGACCCCTAGGAGACACAGATGCTTGTGCGTTAAATATTTCTATATACCCATCAGTTCTTTGGTGATGATGTTATAAAGCATTTTTGCAGTAAGAGTTGACCATACAGCAGCCAAAACGAAATGTGAAAAGTGGGGCTGGGGATTTAGCTCAGTGGCACTGCGCCTGCCTCACAAGCTCAAGGTGGTAAGTCTGATCCCCGGTACCAAAAAAAAAAAAAAGTGAAAAGTGGAGTAATGGCATTCTCCCAAGACAAATACTGTACCTGTTTTAAAGGAGATGGTCATTTGGTTATTTAAAATATTGGAATCATTAACCTATTATCACACATCATATGGTTCTACAGAGCCTCTCAGAATTGGAGGATTCTTTTATTATAATATTTCTACTGAAGGAAGACGAATATCATATTTCTGCTTTACAAATAAAAATAATATCATCAAAAGCAGTGACATTTTGGCACAGAACCACTAATGTAATCAGGGAAGCAAGGAAGAAGGAAGAAATAATTTCAAATACCAAAAAGATTACACATAATATTTCATTCTCTCAATTTAACAAACATTTACTGACTGTCAATTATGACAAGTGGCGGAATAATGGGGTGAAAGGATCATAGGTTTTAGTCATGGGGTTTGAATCTAGCTGTTCCACTGATCAGCTAGGTGTCTGTGTACCACCTTCAGTTTCTTCCCATAAGCTCTTTCTCTTCTTCCTTTTAGTAGGTAACTGCTGAAGCTCTCACATTTCTCCCCCTCTTTTACAACTAAGTGTGGTCATATGTTAGCTTTGATTAACAGAATGTGAGTATAAATGACAGGTAGAACTTCCAGAGTATGCTTTCATAAGAGAATTGCATGTCATCCATCTTCCCTTTTCCCCTTCCCAAGGGCAAGAGCCAGTTCCAACCACATGGATGCAGGCAACAAACATCCTGGTTATGATGAAACACAGAAGAAGAAAGCTGGATAAACTCAGAGAGGATCAGTGCTTCCTAACCAGGTCCCTGACTCCTGAGGACACTCATCTTGACCACTGCATTTCAGACGTCTTTGTTACTATAGTATAGTCTGAACTGTAACCAATACATGATTTTGGACAACCTAAACTTTCTGAATCTTAGTTTCTTCACTTGTAAAATGGGGATTAAAACACATGCTTAAATAGGAGTATAGTGAGAATTAAATTAAGTGTGTGAAATGCTCATTACCATATCAAATATGTGGTAAGTGTGTAATATACTTTTTACGTTTCCCATAACTCTTACTTAGCAAAACACAATTTACTTTACTTTTATCTGATGGAAGTTTGTCCTTGCGCTTGCGCAGCAGGCAGCGAAACCACTGAGCTAAATCTCCAGCCTGACAGAAGTTTTTAAAAGTGACCTTAAGTTCTCTGATAAACTTGCTCATCATTCTCAGAATTAATGAGTAGAAGGTAGAGGTGGGTGCTACACTTTCATGTAAAAATATCTCATCTGAAAATTAAGGTGGATCATTTTCTGAGATAGTTTGGAGAAGTTCATGTGAAATTTAAGGATGCCTCTTAGTAGAGCAATGGCATGGCAAAAGAAAGGACAGAGTTTCTCAAATTTTAATGCAGGTACGAATCACCTATGGGTCCTGCTGACATGCAGATTCTGACCCAGTAGATTTTGGATGGGGCCTGAAAGTCTACATTTCTAATGAGCTCCTAAGAGATCCTCATGCTGGGATCCACAGATCACATTTTGAGTAGCCTGACCAAATAGTCTAAGATAGAAAAGCAAGAGATGGGAGGACTGGAGCTGGTAAGAAGGCTTTTGCAATAATTCAGTGATAAGGTGGTAAGGGCCTGAACCACAACTTGTCAGAAAGAATGGGAAAAAGAGAATGTATTAGAGATATATAAATCCTTTAGATCAAATAGCAATACAGGAAACCAAACATACTCCAAATCACAGACCGTTATTGTCTATACATAGCAATCAGACACAAAACCAAAAGGATATAAACAGCAGTCAATGAAGTATCATAGTATATTCTTGAAAATTACCTTACCATTTTTATTTTATAGGCTGTAGAAGTTGAGACCCAGAAAAGAAAAGTGTGATAGTCCAGTGCTTGCTGAAATGAAACAATGGCCTCTGAGCCCAAGCCTTCCAACTTTGAGGTATTACCTGTCATTTAATGCCACCTGGGGAACAAGGCCCAAGGCCCAGCCATGGGGCTCTCAAACCTGGAGGGACCTCCCTGCAGCCAAGCAAAAGGTTTGGATAAGTCACCCACTAATGCTGTGTTTCTCTCTCTCTCGAGCAGTATTTTACATGAGTCATCCAAAGAATGATTTGTGTGCAGTTAAAATGAGGACGTGATAAACTGTGTCAGATGAATGCCATTTCCTTTTTTGGGAAAGAGCTTCTAGATTGATAGATCAGAGGGTTATCACCAACATGAAATATCTGATTTTACCAAAAATGTGACAAACTCTCTTGATAGCCTTCTGGATAAAATGAAAATAAGCTGTGATGAATTCTTACATCATTATGTGGATTTGTAAGTGACCATAAGATCAGAGCAATCTGTGAGGAGCAGCAACCTCTGGTGGAATACACAGGGGTCAGCTTTTGTCTTGTCATGTTCAACATTTTTACTAACTGGATGAGAATATATCCAACCACATCCATACAACAAACATGGAATCCGGTAGGAAATAGACAAAATCAAAATAGACAAAATAGAATCAACAAAAATTGCTGCTCTAATAAAGCTTACATTCCAAAGGAGAAAAAAGATAATAAACAAAATAAATAAACATCGTATTTAGATAATTATATATGCTATCATATAACTAAACTAATTGGTGAGATGCAAAATTGATAGGAAGGCAACATAAGAAATGTAGAGAAAGACTTAATATATTATATCAAATAACCATAACAGCAAAACAAATCCCAACTTGGTTAAGATATTAGGACAATTCTACATATCTGTTGGGATGCAATTTCAATGAAATAGATGTAGGGCCTTGTCCTTGAGAATAGAGGACAACTATTGATTATAGAGTATAGGAGGTGAGATTTAGCATTCAGAAAATGGATTAGGACTGTGGTTCACTATAGTTCAAAATGAGCCAGTTGTGAAATGTGATTCTCAGAAATCTAGTGTGGTCTCAGGTCCTATCAGTGAAAGCACAGTATCTGGAGCACAGGAGGTGCTGCTCCTCTTGACTGTTCTCCTCTTGACTTAGTGAAACATAACTATTGCAGTGTGTTTCAATTGGCATCCAAAATCTAAAAGAGAAACTGACAAACAGGAAAACAAGCAAAGGAGAATCAACAAGGCAACAAGGCGTTCTGATATGTAAAGCAATCCACGACTGCAAACACTGCAATGCAAAGATAATGGAAGGGGACTGCAGCGAAAGTACACATTGCATTTAATATGAGTTTCCTGACCTAGAAATTCTGTAGTGTTGGATACTAGTTAGAGGATGTATAAATTATCCTTTCAGCCCAATAGATTTGATGGGGGGAAAGGGATGCTTATTATGTACCTTTGTGAATACACAGAGATTCCTTTCCTTTTTAGATCTGAATTAATACCTTAGGCCCTGTGCTTTCTGCCATTCAAACCACACACTATCCTATTCTAAAGCACCCCTTCCCACCCTACTCCAGCAGGTCATTAATAATGGCCATTCTGTTTCTGATGTTCAACCATGCTGTAAATTTGGGGTGTTCTAATTTGTGTGACTTGGGGTGCTGTCAAGTGTCACTCCATCTTCTCCCATATGCAATGCCCTATGGGGAGGTTTCAGGGCCTAACAAAACTCGAGGTCCTTATGAAGAATTTTGATCACACTCAGTCCTGTATACAGTGTGTGGAGTTGGCTTTGGAACTCACTGAAGGTTCACAGAAACATATAATTGAGAAAGAGTGAATGTAGACACATGTGGGTTAGACAGTCTGGAGCTCCAAGCAGTAGGTGTATGTTGTGACCACCTCCTTCAAATAGATACATTATTTTTTCTTGAATGTTTCCTTTTTTGTTTTTTGGGGGTTTTTTTTGTATCAGGGATCGAACTCGGGACCTTGCGCTTGCAAGGCAGATGGCCGAACCACTGAGCTAAATCCCTGGCCCCTTGAATGTTTCCTTTCTATCAGACCAGCTCAACCTTAACCTTACTCTAATGAATATATTTTCTCCTTTCTTCACCTATTCTTTCAATTTTTAAATTCTTTTTAAATTTTGTTTTAAATTCGCTTGAGGAACGTTTAAGGTAGACCTGATACATAGTAGGTTCCT